AGACGCATTATCAAATATAAGGAAGGGAAAACACACAGAAGACAAAACAGATGACTGAGACCTACCAAAACCCAGACACTGATGTGCATGAAAAGACTTCATCAACAGGGAAAAAGAAAACCCACAGAGGGGAAAAGTATGTTGGCAATAACACTACAGACAAAGGTCTAATCTCTAAACTCTATTTTGACCTTAAGTGACAGATTAAACAATACCTAACAAAAAATTTTGTGTCTTGGCTTTGAAGGGGCATTGGTTAGGGTTATTTGGGGCACTAATTCAGAAAATTGCCATTCCTATATCTCCGGTTAGCTAACCCTACATTAAATTATTCTGATCTTTTTAATGGGTGAGTAGAATGAAGAGTGGCATATGACATGTTTTGTATCTCATAAACCAGAGCTGATAGGGGAAAGTTGGTGCCACTTTTGGAATCATCTAACATTTGAGGCACCAAAGTGTGTGGCCAGTGTTATTCTAGCATGGAGGGCAGTTCAGTCCCAGACCTGAGGATGGATTGTAGAGTAAGAAAGGACTATTGTTTTGGGCGTTCAATCAGTCTCTATGGAACTAGTAAGCCTGCTTTCCTTAATGACTTTGGGGTTTTGTTGTACATTTTTCTCCCATTCTGCCCAGGATCTTCAGATGTCAGCCCTATCAAAGCTATCGTGGGGTTAGCTGGGCACCATCTATTTCCCCTGATCTCAGGGTTGTAGAGACCGATGTTAGTGTGGTCCATCAGTCCATCAGACAAATGGTTTACATGTGTCTTTTGATTTCTGTCCTCTTCTTTCCCTGGATGGAGAGACCCATGGTTTCACCTTTGATGGCTACCCATGAGTTTTTAAGACCCCAGTCTCTACTTAACAAAGTAGGATGTAAAATACTATCTTTGTGGACCATGTTATCCAGTATCTATTAATTCCACTTTCCCCTGAACATTTTGAAACTCCCTTCTATAACTCAGTGGAGACAGGAGTGGGACTGTCGAGGGGTTTTGACTGGTGGAGGTTTCTTGCTATACCTTGCTGGCTAGTAAGGGGTCCCAGCCTTCTCTCACTGCCCTCACTTCTTCTCCTGTGTCTTTTCCAAGATGGACAGTTGGGCAAAGGGCACAGCCTTCCATGATGAGAGCAAGAGATGAACACGGGCTTCAGATGACCTGAGGTAACCCCAAGGCAATAACAACGATAAGAAAGATTACACAGTGACGGCGCCTCGGTTCCTCACTCTTCACTTCCATTTTAAGCCAAGACAAATTAAGAAGCAAAATTGAATTTTTGTTCCATTTATTTCAAAATCATGCTTGCCTTCTGTCAGATGAAGATATTGAATGGCTTCTCCTTCCCCGAGCGGGGAGACAGATTCAGAAAGGATCTGTCTGCAACTGTGCCTGGGCCTTTCTAAATGCCCGTTTTACTCGATGACCTGTGGGATCGACTCTGAGGTGGATTGCTTTTCTATATGCTGTTAATGCTACGTAACTTGTGGTCCCATCAGTAATTCATTCTCCAGGTGAAGTTCTTCCTAGGGCTTTGGAGTAGGTTGATGAGCCGTGGTTTTACACTCATGGAAAGACAGCACCTTTTGGGTCATCTCTTCCTGAGATGCCAATGCCTCTGTGGTCATTGTGGTTGTCATCAGAACCAGGCATCAGCATATTGGTCTCTTATTTAAGGTGACAAACCTGTATGTCATCAGGTAGAGTGAGTGGAGTTTTCTAAGCATTTCCCATCAGAACACAACTTAAAAGACAGACAAGGCGAATCCAGGAAATCGCTCTGACCTCATAATCCTATCTCTGAAAAGTTATAATTATATCCAAGAAAGAAAAGTTATGTGCCTGACCTGGCCAGGATATTGTGAAACTATTAAAAACTGTAATTTTGAAGATTGTACTTCATACCTGCTCCCTTAAAGATTTACAGCCTTAAAAACTGCTGTGTAGGGTTGCTGTGGGTGGAATTGGCCGGATGGCAGTGAGTGTTTTGGGTTTATACTATAATACTGGGAAATGTCTGTGTTAGCTACTAGGGTGACACAAGCAACCTGGCATCTCCATCACACAATGATGAGCATGTAGTTCTCATTCAGGCGTTTGCAGATCAGTTGTGTTTTAGCTAATTTAGTTGAGCTTTGCTTCAGGCCATGAATTGAGTGAGTTCCAGTCTGTTTCAAAGGTGTCTTTTTCTGCAGCAACAGAAGGGCTACCCAAGGCAAAGGCAGAAGCCCAAGAGAGCACACTCAGTGCTGGGGACACATGTAAAGACTCAGTCTACATCACAGCTACTAACATTTCATTGCCCAAATCAAGACGAATGGCCAAGTGCACATCCAGGTGGCCAGAAAACATGCCACAGCTCTAATGTGAGGAACTACAAAGGGTACAAATATAGGAAGGGGTAAAGCATTACGAACAGTGATACAGCTGACAAAAAGCCCTTGCAAAATGGCCCCAGGGGAGGAAATAAAAACATGCACAAGTGGGTGCATAAGCAAATGTGGTGAAGAAAGCTGATGGTGCCCAGCTATCAAAAGATATGGTGTTTGGGGTCCTAGAGGCTTGAAGATAAACAAGCGGCCATCTAGCTGAGAAGCAACAAAGCCCACATGGAAGAAGCACACCAGCCTGTGTGATCGATGGGATCAGCTATCAGGCATCAGAGATACAAAACAAAACAAAACAAAAAATCATATCAACGGGAATGAGGGAGAGTGCAGAGTGCAGACCCAAAGCCCATCAGTAGTCAATTGGACACCCCCTGTCAGATGGGCCACAAAAAAGAGACGAGCCAGTCAGGGTGCAGTATAGCACTGATGAAACTCACAACTTCCCTCTAGTTCTTTAATGCTTCCTGCCCCCCACCCAATATCATGACCCCAATTCTATCTTACAAATCTGGGTAGACTAGGACATGTATACAGGTACAGATAAAAGCTTGAAATACAGGGAATCCAGAACAGATTAACCCCTCAGGCCCAATATGGGGAGCAGTGATACTAGGAGGGGAAGGGAAGGGGGAGAACCGATCACAATCATTGACGTGTGCCGCCCCCCCCTCCCAGGGGGACAGACAGCAGAAAAGTGGGTGAAGGGAGACAGCATCAGTGTAAGACATGAAAAAAAAAATGGACATGGGGGAGGGAGGGTGCAGAGGGAGGGAGAAATGAGCTGATACCAAGGGCTCAAGTAGAATGAACATGTTTTGGAAAAGATGATGACAACAAATGTACAGATGTGTTTAACACAATGGACATATGTATAGATTGTGATAAGAGCTGTAAGACCCCCAATAAAATAAGAAAAAAATTAAAAAATGCACAGGATACAGAATTGACTCACAACTTGACCATAACAATGTTAATATTGTATATATCAATAAATAATAGAAATAAATAAACACAATTGAAAAAAGTTCGTCGAGGTAACAATATGTTAAGAACTTTTTATTTTGTCTTTCTTTTTTTAAAATGTCTGCTACTTAGAAGATTCATACAGAAAGCAAGTCTTTTTAATTAGTTATTTCATTAAACTGGTTACCGTATATACTTGAGTATAAGCCGATCCGAATATCAGCCAAAGCACCTAGTTTTACCACAAAAACTGCATTAAAAATGTGCCAAAAAACCCTCAGCTTATACTCAAGAATATACAGGATTTTACTCATCATAATAAGGTTCTGTAGGGAAAAAATATATAATTCTTTTTGCCCTTAAGAAGAATTCTAAGTACAACCAAGTTAGAAAATTATTTTTCTTCTCCACCAGTTCCTAATCTCAAACTCAAGTCTAACCAAAATGTGTTCATATGGATCTTTACCTGTGCCTGCTTCCTCACGAACAGCCCAGTTGCGTTTATGAGTCTGTCTACCTATTAGTATTGCAGTGTGGAAGGTGGCTTTCCACGCTGGCCTCTTGGAGGTCCAAGGCATGCGACATTCATTTCACTGAGTAGAACATTGTCCATAGTAGGGCTCCTATTATGTGAAAAGAGCAAGTCCGTTCCACACATATTTCCTGAGCTCCTGTCACATACCAGACATGCTGCTAGTTGATGTGGGAGCAGTAGATATATAGAAATCAGTATACTTACCCTCATGGAGCTCACAGTCTAATTGGGAGAGAAATTTGTACGTATGTGTTTTAGGGATAGAAGAGAAGGGTTCAATGATTCTAGATCCTAGTGGCAATTAGGATAATCAGGACAGCCTCTAATGAGTACCAGTGCCCAATTCCCACAAAGGAAGATTTAATTGGTCTGATGTCAGTTCTGATCACTAATCTTTTTTAAAGCTCCCCCGGTGTCTATAATATCCAGTCAGGGTTGAGAACCACTGGGGTGGTCATTCTATTTGAGCTCTGAGCTATTTGACTAGACTAAGACATTGACAAAGACTCTCAAATCCAATATTTAAAATCATTCTCAAAAAAATAAATATGATTGTCCCCAAAACAGCTAATGCATGTGAATAGTTTAAATACAAAAGCGTCTGGAGTTTCTGATTCCAGTCTTCAAACTATGCTGTCTAAAACGCACCAGAACTCCAAATCCAGAGCCATGCAAGTCGCTTTCAACTCATAGCGACCCCACACAGGGTTTCCAATCCTGTCAATCTTTACAGGTGCCAACAGCCTCGTCATCTTCCACGGAGCCCCTGGTTTGGCTTGGGGGTAGCAGGGATGCTCTGAAGATACATGAGCTGGAGGCTTTAGAAGGTACGCTTCTCCATTTTAGTAGAGCCTCTCGGGTGGCCGGATGAAGCCTGGATCAGATTTAGGGAAACTGAGAGTGGAGATCCAATAAGCGTGTTGTGAATTCCCAGGGGATGTGAATGAGTGGGGGGGGGGGGGAGACAGTGGCACTGCAAATAGAGTAGAGAGGTCCGTACCAAGAGGCTTCTGTGGCGTCAGGCCATGCTGATCATCCTTCCAATTCCAACTCGCTTGTAATAACTCAAAAGGAATAGCTGCCGGCTGCTTGGGAGCCCTGACCCTGCTCTTTCTCGCGTCCTGTGTCAGCGGCAGGACTTTCAGAAGGCTCCCCTCTTTTCGTAAAACAGGTAGAGGTGTTTCGTGGCTCTGGAGGCAAAGCAGAGCCTGTGAAACCTCTCTGACAGTGTGCTTTCTGGACTAATGCCAAACACAACGTTCCTCTGTAGGCCTGAAAACTTCTGAAGACTGTCTAGCACCATGTGACTTCCTCCAACATCAGCAGCCCGATTAAACCCAACCGTCCCTGCTCCATCGCTCTCAGTTAATGCCATTGCTTTTCGCAGCGCAAGTTCATAACGCTCTCTATCCTCCTCTGTCTTGCACAGAATTGCGATATCGTTGGGCATGTAGCCACCCTGGAATAGACCATGGCATCTTTCTGCCACGGAGTTCACGATTTGTTCTTCTGACACGTTGGTCTCCGTCTCGCACGCCCCCAGCAGAGCCTGGGCACACACTGCTTCCTCGTAGGCAGCTTCCTGGAACAAGGCCGGTGCCTCTGCGGACATGTGGCGAGGAGGATTTTCTTTGATCCTCTTCATTTCCTCTTTCATGACCATGGCTATTTCCAGGGCACAATGGATCCCCTGGACAATTTTCCGAGGAAACTGAGCTGATGGCGGGGGAAGGCCGCTGCCATCTACATTATGGACTTGGAAAGGGTCCAGAAAAATCCAGAGAATCCCCCGTGGAAGGTTTTCACTCCCAGCCCCCTTCCCCTTCGGATGGGTGATATTTTTAGCCTTTGTGTACCAATCATCATACTGACTGCAAAAAGTCTCAGTTTCATCCACTACTATGTGTTTAATCATTGGGAACTTTCCGCGCATAAACGTTTTCCTGGTCACTGCTTGGCAGGTGGTTTGTTGGCTGGAAGAATAAAAGAAAACAGGATTTCAGGTATAGAAATAAAGGGGACAAGCTTGCCTGAGCTGTCATCAAAGACCAAATCTCATCTTGAGGCTGACTCAGTAAGCAACTCAGTCATTTCCGGAATGCTACCAAACTGCTCTCCATGCAAGTTCTCTGACAGATGGCATCTATAAAATTAAAAGCCTACTCTTTGGAGTAATCTGGTTAAATCTGTATGCAAAATTTTTTGAAATGAACCCAACTAGGGGGTTTTATTTTTTAAATGAGTAACCCTATTTCTGCTGCTCAATCATCCTTGAAGATTAGCTCTTTAGCATTTAGAGGAAGTCTCAGTAGTAATTCACATGTTACCACCATTTCTTTACTCTGCCCTTTTTAGTTCTGGAGAGCAGCCACCCACAGGCAGATCCTAGTTAATAGACACAGGAGAGGTCAGCACTCATACAAGTGCCTCACGACTAATGTCGATTTCCCCACTCAACTGATGGTACAAAACCAGAGTGTATGCTCACAGAAACCACTGGAGATTTGGGTGAGGCCATCACCAATGGTTGCTGAGTTCATTCCATGTCAGGGAGGGTAGCAACTCGATAGGCTGACTGGGTTTCCTTAGCCTAATTTCCCTTCATTTTTAAGCACCCGTGTGTGTGTGTGTGTGTGTGTGTGTGTGTGTGTGTGTGTGTGTGTTCAGCTGCGGTTTGTTTCTTGGCTCCTCTCATTTGAACCCAATTGCCATCTCTCAATGTTACAGATTCCCCAATGTTAACGGTTGAGCACTTCATCAATGCACTCCCCACCCAAGCCCCTCTGACGTAGGCCGTTCCTGAGAAACGTAATTCCCTATGCCCGAGTTGTAATTACTGATGTTTTTCTTGTCCTCCAGTTTGGACTGTGTGAATTCTCAGCCATCTCTGTGTCTCCTTCCCGTTAGGGATTCACTGAGCGTTTGTTGAACCGAGTGGTCCTAAGCTGAGCTAGGAAGCAGAACAAAGAGCAAAGGCCTTGGCACAGTGGACAAGGCCCTTCATCGTCTGGGATCTGCCTCCTTTCCAACCTCACCGCCTGCTCCCTAGTCACACTCACTCTCTCTTCCACTTTGGGTCCTTTGCTTTCCCTGCCTTCGAATTGGATGTGCCCTTTCCTAGGAAAATTGCCCCATTATATAACTTATGCTATTGGCTTCTCAAGAGTGAGTCCAAGGGCCTTCTCCATTCGGGGCATGCGAGTCAACCCCCGTCCATCTTAAATTCACGTGAGTAGATCTTCCATATCATTCCCGTCTAACACTGGCTCACACAGTGGCTAGCATATAACGTTGATCAAAAGTGGCTAATGAATAAATACTTAAATAAAAAATCTAAGTAAACCTGCCTCCATTTGATGAGTTGTGTCACAACCCAATTTTTTCCTGTTGAGTGTTAAAGATTTAGATCAGAAGCAAATTTACATGTTTCCTAAAAGCGCTTATTCAGGACAAGTCAAACAAATGAAAATACTTTAAAAACAAAAGCAAATTAGTATTTAATACAAATTCCAGTAAAAGCTAATGTCTATGAATGGAAACACTCTATGACCTCAAAGCGTGGCCTATCAAGAAAAAGATGTTTAGGCAAGAGAGATTGATTTGAACTTTTCTTAAATTTAAGATCACAGATTGTGGAAAACAAACCACCCAACAAGTCCAGTTCTAGACATTTAATGCTATACAGTGAACCCTCGCCACTTCGCGCTTCGACCTCCACGGCTTCACTCTATCGCGGTTTTTGCGTAACAGCACATGCTCTGTCATTACTGCCACTGATTGGCTCATACTGTACACGCTTGATGCCATAAATAATATAATAAATAATAAATGATCATTGTAATGTCCAAAATGTTTTAGTGTATTTTCCCTTTTTCGTTTAATAAATTGGGTAATACGAGTGTAATGGTGACTAAAGGGTGTTTTTTCATGTCCTCTATGCTCTAACTACGAAAATATTTGATTTACAAATAAGGAATCCTACTTCGCAGAATTTCATTTATCACGGTAGGGTCTAGAACCGATTAACCGCGATAAACGAGGGTTCACTGTACATATATGCACACTTGGAGTGTGATTTGTGTGTAAGTGGGTGTGGAGAGAGAGATTTAAGCCTGAACGCTATAAATTGCCTGCCTCTAACTCAACTTCCTGATCAGTTGTATATGTGTATATTGTGAATATGTATAAGTGCACGTATTTAGCTAAGACAGTGCAAAGTCTCAGACTGCAAATACAGATCACTTTGGTGATGCTATTGAGAAGACAAAATGTATCTGTTGTATTAACGTGTTGAAACTCTTACGCCACAAAATCCTTTAAGGCGTCACTTTCACAAACGTAGAGGATCTCTTGTGGTGTGCAGCGGAACCAGCTCTTCATTTTCTCCATCATCCTGACGGCGAGGGCTGTTCTCCGGGTTCCGGGAAAGCAGTGGACGGACAGTTCCCGGGTCTCCTGCAGGCTCTCTGAAAGCAGCTCACACTGCTCCTCTACGAGCAAGTCGAGGAACTCGCATCCCAGCCGGGCACTCAGGAAAGACCGAGAGCCCAAGGAGACCACCACGAGGGCCTGCAGCAAGTCTTCCGTCTCTTTCCGATTCACAAGTCGGTAGGTGTGGGGGTAGTGCACAGGCTTCTCACGGGACGTGGACTGGGTTCTGGTCAGGTGCATCGGCTTTGGAATGATGCACAGTTTCCCTGTGTAACCTCCAACAGTTTCCAGCTTCCACTTTAACTCACGAGCCGTGTTCCGGGCATATTCAAATCCTCCAACCCACCCGGAATCTTGTAAGATCGTGTAGAGCACCAGGGGGCTGTTCACTGCTATCAGAAGCGCGTCACACAGGACATTCTGCTCTTCCTTTAAGCCAACATCACCAGCCCAGCTTCTGGAAAATATTACAATCCCCTGTGAACAAGGAGGCAGCTGGGTCTTCATTAATTCCTCCAGGCCCTCGTGACTGGAGAATAACTTCTTGCAGAGGGGCTCTGGTTTAAATTGTATCTCTTCCTGTGGCACTGAAAATTAGAAGAATAAAGGCAGGTTACCAAAAATGTACAAAAGTCAACCGATGCAGCAAAGCCATTCAATAAAATTGAACATGCATTCTTGATTGAAACTCTTAATGATATAGGAATAGAAGGTAACTTCTTCAAAATAATCAAGGCTATATGTCAAAATCTTAATGGGGAGAAATTGAAAACATCCGCTCCCCCTAGCCTCCTGTGGGAATCAGACAGTGTTTCCTTTTATCACCACTGTTATTTAATATACTCCTAGAAGTCTTAGCCAGAGCTATAAAACACCAAAAAGGCATTAAATAGACCCAAAGAAGAAGCAAGACTCTCTCTGTTTTGCAAGTGGCATCAGCCTGTAGATAGAAAACTCTAAAGATTCAATGAAAACAATTTGCTGGAGCTAATTTTTTTTTTTAATTGGGAGCTCTTACAGCTCTTTTTTTAAATCATTTTATTAGGGGCTTATACAACTCTTATCACAGTCCATACATACATCAATTGTGTAAAGAGCATTTGTACATTCATTGCTCTCATCATTCTCAAAACATTTCCTCTCCACTTAAGCCCCCGGCATTAGGTCCTCATTTTCCCCCTCCCTCCCTGCTCCCCCCTCCCTTATGAGCCCTTGATAGTTTATAAATTGTTATTTTGTCATACCTTGCCCTGTCTGACGTCTCTCTTCACCTGCACTTTTCGGTTGTCCATCCCCCAGGGAGGTAGTCACATATAGTTCTTTGTAATCGGTTCCCTCTTTCCTACCTACTCTCCCTCTACCCTCCCAGTATCGCCACTCACACCACTGGTCCTGTAGGGATCATTGCTGGAGCTAATTGAAACATTTGGCAATTTAGATCAACAACAACAACAAAAACATCGATTGGATTCTTGTATATTAAAGAAGAGGACTCTGATTGGAAATTAGAAGAATAATACCATTTGCAAGACCACCCACAAGATAAAATGCTTGGGAATAAATCTAACCAGAGAAACAAAACACTTATACAGAGAAAATTATAAAATACTTCTATAAGAAATCAAAGAGACTTACATAAATAGAAGAGTATCCTATGTTCATCGATAGGATGACATAACATTGTGAAAATGTCAATATTACTGAAAGCACTCTATACACTCAATCCAGTTCTGATTCAAGTCTGAGCACTATTCTTCAGAGAAATGGAAACACTCATCACCAACTTCGTGTGGGAAGGAAAGAAACCCAGGATAAACAGAACATTACTAAAAAATTTAAAAGGTGTAGGCCCTCTCATGCCCCAATTTCAAAATCTTTTATGCAGTAATCAAAACAGCTTAGTATTTGATTACATATAGATATGTAGACCAACAAATTAGAACAAAGAACCCAGAAATGCAATTAAACACCTTCAGATCCCTTATTTTTGATAAAGTGAGGAAGAGAGACTTTTCAACATGGTGTGGGAAAAATTGAATGTCCACATGCAAAAAAAAAAAAAAGAAAGAAAGAAAGAAATTTAAAAAAACTCATACCTCGTACAGTGTATAAAAATGACTCAAGGGGGAAGAGCAACAGAAACCAGAGGGGAAGGTGATGGCTGTCGGAGTGAGATTTGAAAATAATTAACAATCTACAATCTATCAGGGGGCCATGAGGGTTGGGGGCAGGGAGGAAGAGGGCGGGACGAAAGGAGGAGCTGATCCCAAGGGCTCAAAGGAAAGTAAATGTCTAGAAAAGAACAATGGAATATATGTATGAAGATGTCGGATACAATTGATCTATGGTTTGCAACAAGAGTTCTAAGAGCCCCCAATAAAATGATAAAAAGAAAATGACTGAAGATGGATTTAAAGACCTAAATATAAACCCTATAACTCTATAGCAATCATCAATGAATCAATAGGGAAAAACTCAAGGCCCCTGAACAAGCATGCATACGTGACCAAACATAATGAAAAATGCCCACACTACAGGAGACAAAATAGAGGAGTGGCCCTTCATAAAATACAATATGTGTGCACATCAGAAGATTGAAAAGAGAACTCACAGATTGGGAAAAGAATACTTGGCAATGATATCTCAGATAGAGGGCTAATTTTTAAAAATCTATAGAAAACTATGATACTTTAAAAAGAAAAAACCCATAAATAACTTAATGAAAAATGGGCATAAGACATGAATAGACAATTTACTAAAGTGACATACAATCATATGAAGAAATACTCATGAACATTAGCCGGAAGGGAAATAAATGTTAAAACAATGATGAGATACCACCTCACACCGACGGTCTTCATAAAATTAAAAAAGAAAATCATAAGTGCTGGAGAGGATGTGAAGACACTGGAATGCTCATGCTTTGCTGGTGGGATTGCAGACTTGTGGACGGACAACAGCATGGTGCTTCCTTAAGCAAATGAGGATGTAAAAGCCATATGATCCTGCCATCTCTCTACGTGGTATGTAACCCCAAGAAATAACGAACAAAACATGCACCCATGCTTACTGCAGCAATTTCTGTACTAGCTAGAAGCACTCCATCTGCGGAGGAATGGGCAAACCAACCCTGTAGTACACACACACAGAGGCTCACAGCCTTAAAGACCCTGCAATTCCCTTACCCATCAGATCTAAACCCTGGTCGGAGTGATTACAAAAGGAGTGAAAGTAAAATTGAAGCTGACTTCAATTCTTTTGTGACACACAAGCTAGTTTCCAAAAACAACAGAACATACACAAGTGTCTTGTAAGGTTTCCTAGTGCAATGTCATGGCAAGAAAATGGCTGAAGCCATAAACTACGGGCTTCCTTGTCTTCACAGGGAAGACACGCCTCCTCTGTAGGTGCCAGGCCTGAGATCAAAAGGTTTCATCTCTGGTAATTCTCACAAATGGAAGCCTCACCAGGAAACAGTCTTCACAGACTCCTTCTTGGAACCCGTTCTTCAACCGCACCTGGCCTACTTCTCCTTTCTGTCAAAGGTCTTTTCTGTGAACCGGATGCTTTCGTGGAACTAAGACTTCCTTTAGAGGAGTGGTTAATAGCCAAGGATAGTTTTGACTCTTCAAGGCCATCTGGCAACTTCTGGAGCTATTTCTAGTTGCCATAATTGGAAGGATGCTAAAACATGGAGTGATAGAGCCAAAGATGCTTTCAAATACCCTACACGGCACAAGACATCATCCCACCAATTCAAAACAAAACAAAATATTTGGCCCCGATGTTAATAGTGCCAAGGTTGAGGAACCTCGACTTCAGAAGTTCCATGGGTCCCATGGCTTTTTCAGAATTAGGAAATCAGGGGGTCATCCTTTTATTGCCGAAAAAATGCCTAAGTCCTAAGGAATTCTCAGCCTGCTTAAATGTGGAGAATAAAAGCTCTGTGTATATAACGGGAAGCCCAACAGCACACAGCAAAGAGGTGTTGAAAATATAACGAAGCTTTGATGATGATTAAACAAGGGTCCACCATGTTCCTTCAGGACAATTATATCCAAGTCTTATGTTTGATCTGACCTAGTGCACTAGGGAGGAAAGTTTGGACTGGCTGCCGCCAATTTCTCCCCCACTTGATTTTAGAACAGAAATAACCCCTCCACGCAAATGACAAAGGAGTACCCGGAAACGAACGCTGCTGCAGAGACTCCTTGAATTCCAGGACTTTCACGGGACATCCTCGGGCTCTGGGTGCCAACAGTACTGGTGGGATCAGGCGAGAGCTGTCATCTGTGGCCCAGCTGGAAGGAGCTAAACAAACACATGGAACCGTGCTTCAGACGAGAAACAAAACAAAGCAAAAGCACTCCCTCCTGGCTCTTTTACTGAGAACATGTGCCGTGCATCTCACACTTCCTGTGCCTCGAACAGTCCACATATGTCAGGGAAGGAAGTTGGTTTATACCTCTGCCAACTCACTGTGTAGCTCTTTCTGAGCAAGCCATTTCACCTCTGTGTCATACCACAGTGAGTTGGTGATTGCCATGGTTTCCTTCTAATATTCGGAGTCTAGGTCCCCTCTAAAAGGGAAAGGCAGCTAGTGGTGACGGCAAAGGTTCAGCACAGTAGACAAGGCAGCTTCTAAGAGTTCGTAGGAAAATTCCCTTCTTCTCTTTTGGGGTGTATTTTTAAAAATCATTTTATTGGGGGCTCTTACAGCTCTTATCACAATCCATACATACACCCATTGTGTCAAGCACATTTGTACATATGTTACCATCACCATTTTCAAAATGTGTTCTTTCTACTTGAGCCCTTGGTATAAGCTCATTTCCCTACCTTCTCTCCCTCCTGAACCCTTGATAATTTATAAATTATTATTTTTGTCATGTCTTACACTAAATGTTGTTTCCCTTCACCCACAATTCTGTTGTCCGCCCCCCTGGGAGGGGGTTATATGTCAATCATTGTGGTCAGTTTCCCCTTTCTCCCCCTTATCATCTCATTCAGTTTTTCCACAGACTTTTTGAAATCCCCTGGGATAGCTTCATATAGTTGTTTAAGGGTTCCCTGAGTGGTGCCATGGTTAAGTGCTTAACTATGAGTGGTGCCAATGGTTAAGTGCCAATGGTTAATGGTCCCTGAGTGGTGCCACTGGTTAAGTGCTTAACTGGTGGTTTGAGCCCACTAACAAGGCACCCCAGAAGACAGGCCTGGTGATCTGCCCCCCAAAAATGCCACAGCCTTGAAAGCGTGATGGAGCCTAGTTCTCCTCCGCCCACATGATTGCATGGGAGTCAATCAGCCCAAGGGCAGCTAACAATGATTACAACAGTTGTTTAAGTCGCATGCAGGGTTTAAATGGACTAGAAAGTAGCAGGATCTCCAATGTGTGTGTGTGTGTGTGTGTGTGTGTCCGTCTGTCTGTCAATCTGTGTGTGTGTATGTGTCTGTGCTCATGAAAGAGAGCCTGGGGTGTGGGGTGTAGGCAGAGGTCAGCTCACAAACACCCTCCCTGCTGCCAGACCTCTGTCTCCCCACACCATAGGGGACATAGTGTCTCCTCACTCCCTGCTGCTGGACAGGCTCCAGTAGGAGGAGTGCACATCCTACTGATAATGGTCTCTATCAGTTGAGCCAGGAACAAGCCAAACCTGCTCTGTGAAATCCAAAGTTAGGCTGCCATCCTGTATCTAGGATCCACCCATCTTGTCACATGTATACCCCAATCCCTCCTCTTCCTATTGCGTGTATGTCCCTAGATCACCCCCTCTCATTGCTGTATAACCTATAGTGCAATCCCTTCCTGTGATGTATGTCTCTACTTGTAATCAGTGGGCTGGAACACCCCCAAAAGGTATATAGGCGTGGGTCAGCAATAAATCTCTCTCGCTCTGGCTCTCTCTCGCTGGGCTCTCTCTGGTCGCTAGCCTCTCTTCCCCCTCTCCTCTCCCATCCTCTCTCCCTTGTTCCCTTTCCCATTCTCCTTCCCTTCCCACTTTCTTCACGTGGACCACCAAGCTGGGCTGAGCTGAGTAATGCTACCATGTAATGTGTTTTGACTGCATCATTGTAATATCTTCTCTATCTCTCATGCTCTAGATGACTTTAATATAATACTTATATACCTCAACCATACAATTGTGCTTTATTTAACCCGAGAGTAGTAGTGGTGAGGGGCTGGCCCCCTCCAACTCCCCTCAAATTTATACTACAAATGGCACCCAATGTGGGGCACGAGTTATAGCCCATGTAACAATTGTATGGCCCCACCGGAATGTAGAGTGAATCGGAAAATTGTGTGAAGTGAGGATCCGGTGTGGGGATTGGTGGATAAGTAGTGGAAATAGTGAATGAGTATTTTCAAGAGAACAATGGGGCAAGGTAAAAGTAAACCTGAAACTTATGGTACTATGCTCATTTTCTTACTGAAAAGACAGGGTGTAAAAGTAAGGACAAAAAAGATGCGATGTTTCCTAAAGTAGTAAAGAGGTATACTCCATGGTTCCCAGAGGAAGGAACCTTTGATATGGAGCTGGGATAAGGTAGCCATTAACTTAAGAAAAGCTCACAGGGAAGGACAGAGTATGCCTGTGGAGATGTGGTCTGTGTGGGTTCAAGTTAAGATGGTTTTAGTACCTTTGCAGGAGGAAGAGTATGAGGATTATCAGTGTAGTGAGAAGTCTTGTGTGAGCGATCCTAATCTAGAAAAGCAAGCTAAAGTCTCTTTGGATGAGCATGAATTAGGTGATGGAACTTTAGGAAAAACTGAAGAAGCAAGGATTGATTTGTTATGCGAGGCCTCTGATTCTAAAAGAAACCTCACGGCCAAAGCCTATATGTCCTAGGGGGAACTGCAGTCACCGAAGGTTTAAAGGTGGTAAAATACTAGAGGCAATGGATTGCAAGACCCAAAGCGAGACTATTAAGCAACCCCAGGAAGCTCCCTTGCTCTCAAAAGCAGGGAAAGCAAAGAAACAGAACCAGCATAGCTAACCAGCCTATTGGACAAAGATGCATGAAAGGTCCAGGAGGGAGTTCTCCCTGCCCCTTGGCCAGTGACTCTGCTCCCATTTTACCTGACTGAACATTCAGCATCAGAGCTACCCAGGGCTCGGCCATCAGCCTCGTGACAGAATTGTCCCTCAGGATCCATGAATCCGGAGCTTCTGCAAACACTGCGCAGCAGAAGGGCTCCACTTGCACCACACAGACATAGCCATACAGGACATCTTGCTGATACACATTCAAAATTTTAGTCGTGAAATTCACCTTTGGCTTCTCAGGGCAGAAGTGGAATGTGGTCAGTTTCTCGATGCAGTTTTCGATTTCTTTTTTTAGTAAGTCGGGGTTTATTTTCTCCTTCTTACAGCCAAACACTTCTTTGCTTTGATCATCCACCCCAATGATGATGTATCCCCCTTGGGTGTTGGCAAAGGCAGCAACATAACGAGGCAGCATTTCTCTCATCCGAGGCACAATCTTTTTGGTGGTGAACCTTTTGAACTCGATGTGGGTTGACTCTGTAAAATTGAGTTTCTCCTTATACACGAGCTTGTCCTTTGTAAAGAATTCCAAGGCCGATGTCTTCATATCTTCTTCTTCCTCAACGCACATGTCAGGGGCCCTCTGCGAGTGTAACTCCTTCACTCTTGGTCTTCCGCACTGCTGCTCTCGGAGAAACTCCAGGGCACTGCCGGCGCTCAGGTTGATGACGGACGTCACGTCTCTCTGATACAAATTGGACTGCAGGCTGCAGATCCTTAGGGGGACCCTGAAAGCATCCGGGTTCCACGACTTCACAAAAATCAGAAGATGATGTTGCTGCTGCATGTAGTCAAGGTATTTCTGTGAGCCTGAAGGAAGAAGCTTTTGAAAAGAAGTTTCCAGATCCTGCCCCAGTCCATGGCGGCGGTAGCTGTACGTCTTATCATCCGTCTCTGCTTTAACGATGCCCCCTCCCGAATTTAAGAGCGCACAGATAGCTTGGGTGATTTTAGCGTTCTCTCTTCTTTTCAAAGAGGTGTTGGTCATCTTCTTCCGTTTCTCTTCTCCCAAAGTCACTCGGCCTACCTCGAGAACTCTCTCGGGATAGGGTGGGTCCAGATCACCTTGGGGACGCTCCATTTCACCCGTCTCGCTGTGCCCCAAACAACCTCAGAGAGGTGGTCCTAGTGAAGGACAAATCAGGACAGAAATGTTGTTTCTGCATTGACAACAATTAATCCAGAAACTGTAATCGTTTCTTCACAGCTACAGAGTATTAGAGATACACCCTTGAGCAGCAGAAAATAATGTTCATCTTTCTGACCATAGTACCTTTCAGGCCATGCCTTCCCTCCCTGTGGGAAACAGAGGGACGGGAACAGAGCTCACGGATGCATTTACTATTCTCATATGTTAAGAAGCCTGCAGCCAGGATTCTGGGGTGGAAGGAGGCCTTCATACTTGTGAGTGAGAGATAAGTCTGAATCACATGCTCATAATTAATATCGATCTCCACAATATCCTCCCATAATAGTACTGCCTTAAAGTTACCTCTTACAAGCACAGGACTGATGGTGATCTAGCTGGTAGCCTTACCTGTAGGAGCTATTGCTCTCACAGCTCGGGGGACTGTCACTCCCCCTTACCTGCCCCCAGCACTGGTGTTAGGTTACCCCTCCAATGAATTCAGGGACCTTTAGGGTTAGGGTACAGCCCACCTGTAATTAGGGGGGTTTGCACCCCTCCCCCCAGGAGTATATAAACTGTTGTTGGAAATATAATCTCTCTCTGCACAAACCTGGCTCCTGAAGTCATGGCTGAGGTGAGCCCTTGCATGCTTTGTCTTGTCTGGTGTTTCTATAATTTATCCCTTAATTACACAACCACCCACTTGGACCCATTTGTTTGTGGGGGCTGGCACCCCACCCTTCCCTGGACCGTCTAATAAAAATGTCCAGTGTTGGAAAAAGAAAGAAAATTATCTCAGGCAACATTGTTCTCCAACAACTTTGCCTGTATCTTTTGCCCTCCTGACATGGACTCCCCTAGACATGGTATGGAGCCCGGAGAACAAGGACATGGGTTAGCACAGGAGTCGAAGTCAATTATTAGAGAATATGCAGAAGTCTAAATCCTGTATGTGACATGGAAGATGTTATCATAAAATATGGCATTCCGCCGGAGGTTTAAGTGGAGAGAAAATGTTTTGAAAATGATGTACAAATGTGTTTTACACAATTGATGTGTGTATGGATTGCGATAACAGTTGTATGAGCCCCTGATAAAATGTTTAAAAAATATATGGCATTCCTTAGGAGCTGTTTTTCTACATTTAGAAAGCCTTAGCCAATGTTGAGCTTTGGACATTCTTCTAAGTTTTTTTTTTCTTCCCCTTTCAAAATCATTTTATTGGGGGCTCATACAACTCTTATCACAATCCATACACACATCCATTGTGTCGAGTACATTTGTACATTTGTTGCCATCATCATTCTCAAAACACTTGCTTTTGCACTTGAGCCCTTGTTATCAGCTCTTCGTTTTTTCCCCCTCTCCCCCGCCCCACCCCATGAACCCTTGATAATTTATAAATTATTATTATTTTGTCATATCTTACACTGTCGGACATCTCCCGTCACCCACTTTTCTGTTGTCCGTCCCCCAGGAAGGAGGTTATATGTAGATCTTTATAATCAGTTCCCCCTTTCTTTTTTTTTTTCAGTTCCCCCTTTCTACCTCATCTTCCCTCCACTCTCCCGGTATTGCTACTCTCACCACTGGTCCTGAAGGGATCATCTGCCCCGGATTCCCTGTGTTTCCAGTTCCTGTCTGTACCAGTGTACATGCTCTGGTCTAATCGGATTTGTAAGGTAGAATTGGGATCATGATAGTGGGGGATTCTTCTAAGTTTAAAAGCATATTTCTTCACAGGTAGTGTAATATGTGGGAACAGTTCTGTTCCTTCCCTCCTAGTAGCTTTAGACTCTGCTATGGGACCCCTTAAGACTTGGAAAAGAATCGCTTCTCAGCCTTTTGGCTACGATCAAGTGGAGACTTGGAAAGGGACAGGCGGCTTTGGAACAGGGACATGGAACTACGGTCAGCCTCCTCTTCAGGTTCCTGTTTTCTTTGACAGACCAGGGAACAGCAAGCTGAGCTGAGATGAGGGCTCGGAAACACATAGTTCCGGAAGAAGCCCTGGCCTACTAAGTGCAAGACAAAATATTTCCTCACCTAAATCAAAATTCTTCCTCTAGGGGAAGAGAACTTATTTCTTCTCTGTGATCACTACAGAGCAGGAGCCTAGGGCGTGTTGTTGTTGATACACACCCAGAGGGAGCAAGCAGCTGCTATCTGTGGGACACGCACCCCCCTCCTCTGACATGACATCGTTTGAGCTGCAGTCTCACTTATTCCAGGCAAGCTACAAATAACCTAAGGCACACAAACAAACTCACAAGACGATTCTGACTCAGAGTGAGCCTAAAAGACAGAGTCGAACTGCCCCCTGTGAGGTTCTGAAGCTGCAAACCTGATGGCAGCAGAAAGCCTCATCTTTCTTCCCTGGAGTGGCTGCCGGGCTCGAAGCGCTGCCCTTTTGGTTAGTCCTCCAGCACTTTAACCACTGCACTAGAAGCACTCCTTTAGAATCCCTGGAGGAATTGCTTCTTTTGTTTTCAGATGGAACCATGTCCTGTAACCAAAACCAAACCCACTGCCACCAAATCTATTTTGACTCAAAGCAACCCTACAGGCTGGAGGACTCCATCGGGTTTCAAGACTGCCATCTTTAGGGGGAAAGACTGCACATCATTCTCCCGTGCAAGGTCAAGGAGTGGGGCTTCCAATTGCAGACCTCTGGTCAGCACTCTCACACTTGAACCTCTGCACTGCCAGGGCTCTTGCAAGCATCTCTTAGAGGTACATGTATAGATGGCATTTGATGCTCCTTTGCGGGGAAACAAACTAAACAAGAAACTTGTAGTAATATTCTTTTCATCTAATAGAATCACAGAGTTGGGAGGAACTTTATAGAGATTCCCATGCAGCAATCCATCTGATTCATAAATTCCTCTATATTATTCCCAACTTCCAACAAATTGCTATCCAGCAGCTGCTTGAATGCCGCCAGCAACAAGGACCTCACTGCCTCTTAAAGTAGCCTTTTCTCTGTTCCAACAGCTCTGTGAGAAAGGTTTTCCTTACTTTAAGCTATAACTTGTCTCCCTATAGCTTCCACCCACAGAAGAAACTGATGTGAACTAGCACCCCCTATGGTCTCATGACTTCCCAAGGCTGCTTGAAGCTATTTGTTTGCTGATAACAATGACAATAAATGCAAGTGCTCTGAGAGTCTAACTCCATATGAGCAATCTTGTCACACTTTGCAGAATTTCTCACTTACTCTCTCTTACAAGTTTCTCCTTAGCTACTGTTTTACTAGACCCTTTATGCCCTCAGATTCCACGAGATTTTAAAAATTATTATTATTTTACCTGATGTGTGCGCTTTTCCTTTTGCTGTTGAAGTTTCACATCTGCCTTTGGTCTGAATGTTTGCCTTCTGTCACAGCCCCTGCTGCCTTTCGATATCAGCCTGGGAGGAGCAGGAACGCTGCCAGACTCTTCACGTCTCCCTAACATCGACCCACTGAGGAAGGCTGATAAGGGCTCAAGAAAACCTTATGACTGAACACATTAGCAGGCCAGGGGCTGGGCTCAGGGAGTAAATGACGGGGTAAGGGGAGCATTTGGGGGTTGTCAAGCCAGGAGTTAATGCTGAGCTTACCATCTTTAATGAGCTAAGCATTATTTTCATATTCTCCTACGAGCACCTATTGATTTGGTTCATTTTAATTTGATTTGCAAAGCTTTACATAATTTCTATATTAGACTGTCCTGTACATATTCATTGTGAGCAATCTTAACTTATTGCACTACTTTTCAAATTGCTTGCTCCAGTATTTACTTTTCCCTCCTTTAAATACAGTACTTTATTTGGCTATTGAAGAGCCATGGTGGCATGGTGGGTTACACACTGTGCTACTAACCTCGAGGTGGGCAGTTCAAAACTAACAGGTGCTCCTTGGGAGGGAAGATGAGGCTCTCTACTCCTGTAAAGAGTTACAGTTAAAAAAAAAAAAAAAGAGTTACAGTCTTGGGAACCCACAGGGGCCATTCTACCTTGTCCTATTGGGTTGCCATGAGTCAGAATTGACTCCATGATGGCAGTGGGTTTGGTTTTTGCCTTGGGCCATACCTTATCCTTGCCACTTGCCTGTGATCTCCAACAACAAGTGCTCACCACCCTGAGAGGGAGCAGAGCAAAGGCTGTGAGGCTCAGAAGAGGGAAAGCATGGTCAGCTGGCAGGATGGAAGTAATGTGTGATTCTGGCAGTGCCTGCAGGGGAGATGGGGAAAGAGCAGGCCTTCTCTTTCCCCAACTTTTCTTCCTGTTGAACATAAGATCCTTCCTAGAAAAATGCTTTGCAGGTAAGGGGCTGGCTATGCTTTGGTCTGAAGACTACAAGTGATTTTTTTTTCTTTTTTAACATTTTATTAGGGGCTCATACAACTGTTATCCCAATCCATACACACATCAATTGTGTAGAGCGCATTTGTACATCGTTTCTCAAAACATTTTCTCTCCATTTAAACCCCCGACATTAGGTCCTCAGACTACAAGTGATTTTTCATTTAATTTCATTTCCTTATTTAAAAACACATTTTCTCTATATTCTAAATTGGGATATAATAAACATGCATTGTTTTTATCATGAAATACAGTTGAATGGAAAATTAAACAGACAAGATTCTGTTGTCTCATTGAGGGATGGCAGGTCCTATTCCCAGGAATCAGCAAACATTATGTTACAAAGAAAAAGTCTGTTTGTAGATATGAATAAGGTAAAGATCTGATGTGGGTAGATTACCCTGGATTATTTGGGTGAGTCCTAAATCCAATCACAACTGGAACACTGGCAGCCAACAGAAGCTGGAAAAATACGCAGATTGTTCCCTAGAATAACTCTGACTTTTTGAGTTTGACTCAGTGAAACTGGTCTTGAATTTCCGGCCTTTAGAACTATGAGAGTACCAATTGCTGTTGTTTCAAGCCACCAAATTTCTGGTAATTTGTGA